TTTGTTATTAATTTTGTGAACCTTAGGGACAATGACTATAACACCCAGTAACCCGAAGGGGGAGTGGGTTATTTGAGTCAATATCCTGACTTTTGAGATCATTGCTGGGAGCAAATTCTTGTGAACGAGAGAATTAGAGCCGACAGTCAATGGGACAGAATCTCGAGATATGTCTGTTTTGTGAGAATTCACAAAAGAGTAGCACAGTCTTTCGCCCCACGACCCACTCACTAGTGGTACAACTAAATGGGCGATTCACTATAACGGTGAACATGATAGTGATGAAATAGTATAAGGCCACAGAGGTTTGGAAGAATGGTGCCATTATAGAATCGGCGCAAAACAATATCAGATAGCAACGTATCATATATAAACGAACTGTTAATTATTTGGGCCTGAAAATTGTAGTCAATTTCCTGGCATTTGAGTTCATTGATGAGAACAAATTCTTGTGAACGAGAAGATAAGAAATGGAGCAGAATCTTGAGGCCTGCCTGTCAATTCCACCTGTTTTGTTAGAGTTGACAGAACATTTGTACACTCTGTCGCCCCACGACCCCCTTACTAGAGGTACCACTAACTTGGGGGTTTCCTATAATCGTGAATGTGATAGTGATCAGATGGTATAAGACCATAGAGGAGTGGAAGAATGATGCCAATGGCATTGCGCACCGTAGACTCGAAAACATTTCAGATAGCGACTTTTAATAACCGAGCTTTTAAATTTTGGGTACAGGGCCCGTGGGGACTTTGTCTCACGGGGGCGCTTACTTGGTGCCATGGAAATAAGGATGTGACTTTTCAATTTCTTTTCTACTGTATGGGAAGCCCACTGTGTAATAATTCTTGGAAGTTTACATGCGCGACTATTGACTGGCTATTCTTAGCTGATCGTGGAATCGAAGAAAGCGGGGGATACTATTAAAATGAGTTCGTCCTTCTATCTGTCTGTCTGTCCGTCACACTTTTTGGGACACAATAACTCTCTTTCTAATTGAGCTAGAATGTTCAAACTTAGTGTAGGTGTTTATTAGTTCAATGCCTCGATGGACAAGCAGAGTTAAGCAATTTGATTGGTTGATGCTTTGAAACACGATAACTTTAGTTCTAAGTAAGTGAGAGTGATGAAACTTGGCGTATAGTTTCATTACATCAATACCTTGACTAAATTCGATAATGAGCATTTTCTGCTTAGGGTAAGCAGGGCGATAAGCAATTTGATTGGTCAAGACTTTCGAACACAATAACTCTCATTCTTATTGAGTTAGAATGTTCACCCTTGGCGTAGGTGTTTATTAGGCGAATGCCTTGATGGAGATCGATGATGAACATTGTCTGCTTACGGTAAGCAGAGATAAGCAATCTGATTGGTTGATGCTTTGGGGCACGATAACTTTGGTTATAAAGAAGTGAGAGCGATGAAACTCCGAATATTGATTCATTATATCATTACCTTGACTAAGTTTGATGGTGAGTATTTTCTGCTTAGTCTAAGGAGCGATAAGCAATTTGATTGGTCAAGAATTTAGAACATAACAATTCTGCTTTTAATTAAGGTAGAATATTTAAACTTGATGTAGATGTGCCTTAGGTGAATGTCATGACTGAGTTCAATGATCAACATTTCGAGCTAAAGCCAAACAGAGGTTATCAATTTCATTGGTCGTTGCTTTGGGACAAGATAATCTTGATTTTATATGATAGAGAGTGATGAAACTTAGTGTATAGTTTGATTGCTCGATACTTTTGAAAAATAAATAAATGTGCGATTAATTAATATGTGTCATCTATTTATTTTGGGATTTCGGCGCGGGACATCAACCTAACTGTTGGCTTGTTTACATCTCTGAAGTTTCGATGCGACGTGTTATGAGTCGATACGTTCTGGAACGATTTAATGCGTTTAGGTGCGATATGGTCACGATTGGTCAATTTCAGGTGATACGATCTGTCACGATCTGGTCTCCCGTTCAGGTACGATCATATACGTTCAGATAGGTTAGTCCCTACATTTGACGATTGCTACATCTTACCTCAAGATATCATAAAACCTGATAGGATCACCCCGATAACTCTGTGATATCAGTACGAAAATCAATGCAGCGAAAGAGGCTTTATGAAGAAAGTATACGACTGTCGTACGATTTTGTATGGTTTATTAGAACCAATAAAGATCTAAAAAATACCTATCTAGCAACGTAATCACGTGATGCATCACGCAGTCTGCAATACTGCAAGGACCGACGCAAGTGGTATGATCTCCTATCGTTTCTGAAGGTCATATAATCACATCACTATGACAAAAAATACGACAGGTACACCCCATTCAGCCCAAACCCCAAAATCATGCGATTTACAAAGGCGCCAAATTGGAATCAATCTAGTGATTGTGCCAACCAAGATGGAAGAGCAACCTGGAGGCTTATCTGAGAAAATACATCAGCATTAAACGAAAAATCATTCTAAACAATTGACACCCCGAAATGTATGAGAAGTCTAACAAAGATTGCAAGAACACTGACATGTACTGAAAAGATGGAACTATTCGACGAGAACAATTTAAGATACGAGAATTGCACCAAATCTAGTTCAGTTTGGAAACAATTACAAACGAAAGACCACTGAAGCGATTTCCGTTCCTTGGAGGCCATTTTGTGATTCGCCAGGTAAATGAAATCAAGTTCGAGCAGACGGCATAGACGACAAGCTGCCAGAATAATGGTGATAACATTGTTAGGTACACATGTACTCTCAGGACCAATTAATCGCGAAAACTACACAATGAGAAGGCGACCAGAGCACAGCGGGCGGATGGATCACATCATCGCTGCACGCTAATGACACAGTATACACTGTAGTCGAAGTATTTATTCAACACGAATACAAAAACATTTTCATATCAAATGTATGTATTTATTAGTAGTTCTTTAGAATTTGAGGTAATTTCAACAGGTATGAAGGTCGCAAAATTGTGCAGCAATTATATTTCATGCCATTTCGTTCTGCCATAATGCTGCACCATTTGACGAGTAGTGATTCAGGTACAGACGTGGTTCTTTAGACCTTATTTCCTCTGACCTTATCTGTTAGATATTGAGGCAACGATGATTCTAGTAATTTAGATTGGTAAAAAGACACCCAAACCGATTGACAAGGGTCCCAAATGTATTCTCTGCAGCATGTCTGGCTCTGGAAAATATACAACTGAAAATCCGCTCTTCTCAAGTCATGATGCGTTTGGTATACGACTTCAGCAGCTTAAATTATGGAGACAAAATTCGGCATTGTACGATTACAATGCCCCAATATTAAACCATCAAATCAAGGCAATTGAATGTTGTGCATACTTATTCCCACACAGGAAAACAGTGTAGGGTTGATATTGAGGGATATGTTTTGTGTTTTTTTAAGTATTGTTAAACGTCTAATAGAGCTATGCTACAAATATCAGCTTAGATTACTGAATTGTTTTATGATTATAAATTATATTTCACCACTCAAATATATGTGAACTCATCACATTCCCGGGAACCAAACGAACATTCATTTTCAATTGATTTATTGGATTTTATGAAGTATCATATAACATAACATCAGAGGTCTCAACTTAAAAGAAAGATGTACAACCTCTTTGAGCATTAAAATGTGTAATTAACAACGACCGCAAGTCAAATGTGACCGGCCCGCTAGGGTTCTAAGCGCGACATTCTAGACCACTTGGCCGTCCCAACGCCCCGTAAGTTAATAATAAATGACCTATAGTCATTATAGGGTGTTGGCGGCCATTTTGATCGACATCCTGGATTTTTAGATTATCTAGTGTCACTTCAATTGTTTGTAATAGGTTGTTCGACTCCATGGATAGAAGCTACGCTTTGGTAAAAATCAAAAGACTTTTAATAGCAAGTTAACATTATTAGGGCGCAATATTCAATTTTCCGATTAGTCAGGGGTTCTAAAGTATTCTCTGATCTGCAAAACACCAAAAATAAACACAGAAAAATATGTCTGGTATATTTAGTAAATTATTCATAATCATTCTATCGTATAGGTAGCCTACGTGTATGGCAATACGCGCGCACAGCACCAGTGTTTCGGCAGGAGCTTGCCCGAATGGAAAATTTGTATGTTGACCAATTTTGATAAGGAATTTCCCTTCAAGTAATCTGATCTCTGTCGGCTCACATGCTTGAAAACAAACGGTGGATAACTCTGGAACGAAAATCCACAGAACGCTGAATATGAATGCCATTCGACCTCTCATCATCTCAATGCTTCACGGCAGATTTGAAACAAATCCATTAAAGCTTAAAAACTGTACCCTCTAAAACGCTGATATTCGATAAGGGTCGTCCTCTCATCCATGGCACGATGCTTTACACTAAATTTGAAAATAATTCGTTAAAATCTATAACCTCTGTTGCGTTTACAATGGTATTGACAAACGAGGGTGATTCTGGTACGCCGATTATGGACGGGGTTCGTCCTCTCAGGACCCCAATGCTTCCCACCAAATTTTAAAATATTCCGTTAAAACCATTAGTCTTTCTCATGGGAAAGAGGTCATAACTCCGCTACTCAAAGTCTATGTACGCTGAATATCGATATGATTTTTCAGCTCATGACCACAAAGCTTCTCGCTAAAATTGAAAAGAATCTGTTAAAATCTCTAGCTGCTATTGCATTCAAAATTCCCGTCTTCATTAGCCCAGTCGGAGCAGAATAGTAGGACGTTAAACCCCATTTCATGTCATGCATTCAAGATGTTTCCTCCCATAACTGCAGTGTTATTTTGTTTGGTTGCTTGATGAAGACCTCGCTCAACAATGAACAATAGAAATGCATAGACCCTACTGTGTATTTTAAGATTTACTGTAATAGTTTGAAAATAATCGATGGTTGCCAAACACGTAGGTTCTGTTTGAGGTGTGATTTAAACGGATGTCGTTAATACAAGGAAAGTATAACAGGGAAGGATGTGTAACTTGTGTTGTTAGAACACCGCAATGATTACTCTACTTAAATATATATTTCTGTTTTATTTGATGAAGATTGGATTTACGTTAGAAGAAAATGCAAACTCTACAGGTGTGTTAGTTTTTTCTTATTATTTCTGCGGGTTGTTTTTTTTTTCATCAAGAAAAAGTTTATAGCGGTTTTCAGAGCTACAGTTACCTTTGCTGTTGGTGGGTCTTCGCGATAGATGGTGAAAAGTTTGGTGCTTGTAGATCAGTCAAAATTTGTTATCAAAATTTGTATTTAAACACGAATGACTAGTTGAGAATCTGGGGGGGGGGGGGGGGTAAAAATTAAAATGACTTCTCTGCTACAAATAATAAACTCATCATTATTCGTCATTCGGAGCCTCCGAACAGTAGACATTAAAGCGAGTGTTCAAATATAACCGAGTTTGTCCTCGTCGGTACATTTAGTCCAATTTAAACTAAAATTAGTAAATAACAGAAAGGCCGATATACACACAATTATCTGAAACAATATGGTTACATAGAGCTTGTCCCATAAAACATAACAGCTTAAAATATATAAATGTCTTCTCAAAATTTGTGTCAAATATATTTTTTTCTAGGCATAAAAATTGTTAAAGGCCGTATGGCTCTATTCCTTGGAACCGTAAAGTATTGGAATCTTAAAGTAGAAGAAATGTATATATAAATAATGTCATTGTATAAAGATGGACATTTATGAATAGTCCCAAGACGGACGAAAAGTACTTTAAAATGTTAAAATGTTATTAAACCAGTGTTGAAATCAGTTTGTGTCGGCATACCTTTTATCTTTTCATCATTTACCATGAAACAAAGTAGTGCAGCTTTGCGGTTGTGCTAATAATTTTGGATATAGTGAATTATTTTCAATTTTTACATTTTTATTGTAATTTGTAATCAATTATGTTCGATAAAATACGCAGTCCAGATTGAACGACAGTCCATTCTACACGTTTTTTAATTATTATTTTGTTGTTTGTGAACCAGCCCTTATTACTTACTTCAGCATTGTCTTGTAAAATATTATTTTTTTTGTTTATTAAAAAATGCACCCGAAACCAAAGAAATACAAGACTATATTGTACTGATTTTAGAATGTTAAATATGTTTTAAATATTGGATGTTAGAATCCCATATTTTCACGGCAACATTAATATTGATTGAAATGGGCCAATATTGAATTTTAATTTGTTTGGGTTTTTTTTAATTTCGAATTTTATGGAAAATATTGATTTATATTTCGTTTCGTATTTTTTATACTTTCGATGGCCTCCACTACATGAAGATCTGACTGATTGTAGTGATCCTATGGCGTCATACATTTGATTACACTATCAGCGTTGATGTTTTTAGTGGGATACCGACAGTTCCGTGCACCCACACCAAGAAAGCGGGTTATATAACAACTCTTCCAGATCCTAGTGTAGTAAAGACAAGCAAAATGAAATTTTGAAGTATAAAAAAACGAAACGAAACAAGATCTGTGTTTAATCAGATTGGTTTATAAACATAAACAGATATGATGTGCTGAATTTTGTTCATCTATAGGTCATTTAAATATCTGTTTCCGTTGTATTACGTGATGTCTATCTAATAATGCCTGTTTATGAATTTGAAAGCAATATTAGTTCGAGGCTATAATATTGCTACACATTTTGTCAGACAGTTTCATCCGATTTTCACGAAATTCAAACTCAACCGTAATTATGATGTAACAGTGATACATTTCAACGGTTTATAAAATCATGTCAAAATTGTCAGTTCTAGTGGGCCCACGACCTAAAAACGTGGCTTTTCGATATCGTATGACCAGTGACCATAACCCACACACAAATGTAAAGGGCACCTGGACCATGGACACAGACAAGAGCGACGTTATGATACGCAAAACATGAGAATGTGGGCGTAAAATAACGATGTCTTTTATGGGTGACAAATGAATTTAGCTCTCTAGACGGAGTAATTTGTAATCAGCTGCGTAGCATTCGCATCAGAATGTCATCCTACACAATACGGATTGGCTGGCCTAAATTCTTAATATACATTATAAAACCGACAGGTCCATGGACTAAACCTTGTAGAACTCCACAGTTTAACTAAATATGTTCTCCGATTTCGCTGTATATACTAGAGCAGATTGGAATCTGTTAATAAGGTATGAATCAAACTATTTTAATATAAACGCGCCCAGGCCAGAATTTGTAATACTATAGGGGTTATTTTTGTTCTAAGAAAGGTGTTCTTTTTAATATAGAAATTCTTTACCTACATGATGTGTGACGAAAACTAGGGTAATGAAGTAACTTGCATTATTCTACTACTATCTGAGACTTACTTACCGACAGTTATGTCAGTATCCATTGCTTGAAGTAGGGTACTATCGTCCAGTCATCTTGTGCACGGATTAGTACAATTAATTAGAATAGTGTGGCGTAAAACGGTGCCTATACGAAACACTTACCCAAAATGGTAATAGTCCCACCCTAATAGCTGACGCATTTATACTTTCTATATAAAAAGGAGCGAGTTTAATTTCACTTCAGACATCATCGAGTGGTCCGAGAGCGGAACATCATAGCCTCCGTGGCTTAGAGGCTGGGATGAAGACATCATCCTAGTGCGAACATCATGTAGAACTATCTAGAAATATGCGGCTCTTGTCACGTTTCAGCCTTTAGGTCAGAGTTATATATTAATATATTAATAGCTCATAAAGTATCAATAGATGTTGTAGTTTTCCTGTATTTAACCTCTGTGGCTTGCTGTATTCGTTATATAAACTTAGTAACAACATAACCGGTGATATAGAGTCAGTTAATTGAAGACGATAATGTCACAGCTAATTCCTTTTTGTTGCCGAGATACAGGATAGTGTCACAAATTATGTTTAAGATACTATAAGTCTGTCATAAATAATCGTTTCAAAAGAGGTGGATATTTCCAGCATCAACAGACACTCGAATTTGTGACCCTACACAGTCATGTTTTAGACCTGTATCCAAAAGGATATGAGAATTCGAATTCATCTATAATTCATCCAATATATTTGAAAGAAAAGATAGGGTGGTAGTCTGATAGGGTTGGATCCTGTTTCTCTAAAGATGGCTTAACAATGACTTCCTTGATGGAACAACGGCACATTCAATGCTCTTTTATAACGTATGGTTTGCACTTATTATTCGTATGATATTAATATTTTATACAGTGTGTAGTTGGCGAGTATCATTTCTGTTATTATTAATGTTTTATATAATGTACAGTTGACGAGTACTATATACTCTTCAAAAACAAGTAGGGGATATTGAAATGCAAATACCTATGCAGGTTGCGATATGATAAATAGTCATGGACATTTGACATGCTTTAAGAGTATGTTCACAGATGAAGAACTTGTCTCCCCAACAGAACCTCTGAGCTGCACATGCGACACGCAGCAATAGCGCCATACAGGTGGGAGGGGTTCATTGTCAAATTTGACACTCCAAGGAAGGGCTGATGAAAACTGCCGCGTGCTGGTTTATCTATCCATGTTTGCTTTCCTATCGGTTCTTGCATACGATTTACTGTTTAGCATATCTTTGCTTTAGTGAGTTACGTTTAATTTGATCGGGAGATGTGTTCGTCGGCGTCAACGTCAACCGACAACACTGCTAGAGTTGGCCTTGGAACTGCAAGAGGGGTGGGTCAGATTGCCCCAAATCGTGATTGGACGGTTGATTAGGAGCATGCCACGAAAAATTGCTGAATGTCTGAGGATTGGTGGAACAATTACTCATTATTAAGACAAAAATCAAAAACGCCCATTTTCATTTTTTTGACGGTGTATCTCTTTGCGAGTGAAATGGAGCCGTCAGATAAGCCGCCCATATGAACTGTTTATGTTCATTTGTAGGCAACTGGTCTGTTATTAACATACACTGGTTACCTCTAATAAACACAGCAGTGCATTTCCGCAATTTTGAAGAGTATATGTTATATTTTATATAACGTATATTTAGTATTATTTCTATAATTATTAACATTTTATAATTATTAACATTTTATAATTATTAACATTTTATATAGCATGCATTTGGCGAGTATTAATATTAGTATGATTTTATATAATGTTTATATAACAGGTAGTTGGAGAGTATTGTTTATTAGTAAAGATGGGAGTAACACAGAGCCCTATTCACTACTTATGTTAAACCAATCTGATAGTACTACACCTTTTTGTTCATCTGATTATCAACTTTATGATGAGATTCAGATTGATCATTGTGTAACTACAGATCTTATTAACTGGCAACAAAATCCACCTGATAAGGTAAGACATAATGTTATATATTGTATAATCAGCCCATATTCTTATTGGGTATGAATTGGGTTGGGTGGCTGGGTCGTCTACAGCTTGGACTTTACATCATAAGATGTGTATTGATTGAAGTGGCGTGGCATCCTTTCCTTCCACTACCGAAGTCCTCTACGAATTTTTGGGCTGTACCACATTTTAGTCTTGAATTTAACTATAGTTTGTGTTCAGTGGTTGTGGTCGTTCTTGTAATGGGTGGATACAGTCTGTATTTTGTAAATCGGCTATTCTTTACAGGTAGCTGTAACTTATACCAACCAATATGGTGAATTATTAAACTGCATGGTTTATAACAACAGTGAAGTTAAGTTAAATTCTACGTCGAGAGAAAAATGGTTTAATACTTCATATATGATAGACAGTACATATTGGTACAATAGTTTCGACGTCGTACTGAAATCGTGAGAATCAATATTTTATTAAATACTTCAAGAGACGTAGGTCTTAAAAAAAATATCTTGCTGTCAGCCAATATTACATATGTGATAGAACTGGTTAAACACATCCCAAAAATAATATTAACACAGAGATCATGGCTGTGGTAGAGTTATAACGAAGGTTTGAAGAAACCGGAAGTGACAATGATCTCTGTGTTAATATTATATTTGGAATGTGTTTAACCAGTTCTATCACATATATAATATTGGCTGACACCAACATTGTCCTTTAAAGCGTTCTTGACCAGAATCATTCACGAATTAGTATTTATTGTCACGTGAGAATTGGCAATAAAGACAATAATGTAATTATTATATGTTTTATAGATTTGGAATTAGATTCTAAATCAGTTAAAAATAGTAATTCTTATTGTTTAGAGAAAAAATTATGTTACGCGGAGATTTTCTCCCAAAAATGGGGATGTTCTCCATAAATGACAAAATTTAGGGATATTCCTCCCTGATCAATATGATGACGTTTCAAAAACAATTATTAAAGTAACTGTGACGTGTCACTGGGTGTTAGGTGGGGGGGGGGGGGCATTAAGAGTGTTTGTGATAATTGCCAAGTCGTTTTAGGGGAAGTCCATATTTGCGATTTCAGGTGAAGATGTCTCAGTTAAGTACGAATAGATTTGAATTAAAACGATGTGAATGCTTATAATAACCACTGGCTTTAAGTACATATAATATTGTTCTGGTCATTTTGCTTTGGTCACGGTTCGTTGTCCCATGATTTATTAGTCCAAATCTAATTGTTTCCATAAGTGTATTAATCACTAATCATTAACGATTCCATTCGTCTTGCAAGTGGCAAATTTAGGCCTTTTCGTCTTGTTAGCGCGCTAAATAAATGAAAATAATGTATGGGTTCCACTCCAGTCGGAATTGCTGCACTGTATATTTGCTGGGACAACCCATGTATTGATACAGTAGGACAAGCAACCTTGCTCAGAGTTTTCAGCGTGGTCAAAACTTTTTAATGGTGCAGGCAAAAGAGACATAGCAAGGAAAGTGTCGAGTGGTGCAGATGGGAAGAAAAACTGAGGTCTCGCGTAAAACAACCATTGAGAGTTGGAATTCGAAATAAGATCAGGCCGTATAGCGCCGCTGGGCAAAACTCCCTTCGTAGCACAATGAATTGGCGTATGCCCGTCGCCATTAACCCAGTTGGTGCAAGACGTTAAACCCCATTTCATTGCCTATTGAAAGGAAATAAACATATTTATTTTCAATAATAACTTTGTTAGCGAAATCCTCTTAGCAGCGTAGAGGCTTGAATTTTATTTGAAATTTACGTTGCCGACAAAATTTACGTTAACTAAGCTCCATTTCACGATTTTATTACAGAATAAACAGAAACTTTGTAAATTCTGAAGAATCATCTCGCTCGTTTTTCATAAACACAATGAGTGTGGGTGTTAATTTTACCAACTACACAAAAACAAAATGGTATCACATGACGCGTGCAAATTCTGATTATTATTCTGATTCTGATTCATGGGAAGGTAAGTTGTTTTCAGTAACCTGTTTAGCTGGTCTCATAATGGGCTAAATCTAAAAAGGGAAACGTGGACAAGATTGTACTGCTCAGCAAGTTGTGGAGATTGGGAACAACTCAAATGAAATTTAGGTACCTTACGCAGCTGGGTCAGAGGAGGACTTCTCTGATTTGGAGAGACATGTGACGATAATTTCACGAATTATTCCCTGTTGATTAAGTATCTTTATAATATTTGAGTAGCTTAACGGAATATTCCTTAATTACAAAACTCAACCCTAAGCGCAAATAGCAAGCTTTTCGGGAAGCTAATGACTCTAATCTACTAGCACTTGGGTAGCCACATCGCTTTTCCATAGGCATGGGCTTCTTTCTCTAGACGGGGAAGGGGCGGGGGGTAACGCGTGTGCGTTGGATTATTAGGTCTGTTATTGACTAGCGTAGTTTCGACAAGATGTGGGATCGCCTTCCAATCATGTGGGTTTTCTATAGTTCCTCCACTTTCCTCCCAATGCTAGAGACCCTACACACAAGCGAATTATTGAAATAAAATTGAACCATATGTTAGTCCCGAAATGACCTAGTTGGTGTCGAGTAACATAATAAATATGGTTCAATCTTTTTTCAATAAACCGCTTAAGCAGTGGGTATGGGGGGGGGCGGAGAACCCGTAGAAAACCATAAAGGCTGGGCATGCGGCCCTGCTTCTTGTCACGTAGACTACAAGTGGGGAATCGAAACAATGCCACTTGACTCAAGGGCCGACCGTACGCCTTAAACCACTTAAGGGAAATTTGTTTTAATTTTGTTTTTCCAATGGTTACCCATCTATTTACCTAATTTAACTCATTCAACCATTTAGCCAAAATGTGATATTAAACTCACTTAAAATTGCACCAAAGGGATTAAAAGTAGCAAAATAAGTCTGAAGTCCGCATGCAACTAGGACCTCTATACAATATTAATGAAGTACATGCAGAACCTGGGGCTGATTACGGCGCAAAGATCGGATTAGTGCAAGAAGGGTTGCCTAACAACAACTTATTTCCTTGTTACAGATGAAACCCGGTGTTACAGAGATACAGATAATACACTTGATCTACCAGTCACAGACTGTGAATCTTCAAAGAACTGTCTTCTTTGTTGTTCCTTACTTGGAAAGAAAATGGCTATAACATTCTTTGAAGAAGAAATAGACGTAGGTGTAAGATTAAGCAATTTAAATAAGTTTTAATTAACTTCAAAATATTACAAACACAGATTAGAATTCATTATTCATATTGGTGTTGTTGTCTTGCCGTGCAAATATGGGATCATTATAACCAATTTTAAAGTCACAGTGAGCATTTTAAAATCAGTAAACGGCGTCGTGTACTATATGGGCATAATGGTTTCGAGTGTCATTTGTAATAAACATAGAAAAACATTCCAAACGCTCCATTCCAAATGATTGATTCACAAACGAACAAATTATAATAATTTTAAAAAACGTGTAGAATGGACTAAGCAGGATAAAACGACTGCCTTTAAATTTCGACCGAACATAATTGCAATATAAATTTGAAAAATTGAATGTATATCACTTTTATGCATATTACATTAATATGTGCTTTTAGACCAATTTTCTTCTTTTTAATTTTCTAAAGAATAACAACTATTCACACTTTCAAAAAATAAATCGATTCTTTGATATTTATTACACATATAGCATGACGCTTCAAATGATCTATTTAAAATAACAAACATTGATTTTCAACTGCAGGATACCAATTCAACTTGTTCCTGTTTTGATGTTCTACCGGAAGTAGTTGCTGATCAATATGCGGATGACAAAACATCATGTTACACAAATTGTGCATTTCTGTGTTACTATAAACATGAAGTTAGAGGTAAATTATGTTAGTTATTTAAACATATATTTAGATTTGTGATTATATTTACTGGCTATTATAATGTCTCTGGCACAATCCCATCACATTTAAATAAAATAAATACTACTATACTATATTTTGGCGTCGTCGATGCGCAATTGTCCAAGGAACAGCATGTCAAGTTTCATGTCGACCGTACATCAATTTTCGAAGAGCCTCGCCCCCAAAGATGAGTATCGCCTGAGGACCATTTCTTGGTCCTAAAATCTCAAGGACGTTTACAATGTTTCGGCGACAGGGGAAATAACTCCTTATATACTCTTCAAAAAAAGTAGGGGATATTCAGAACAATACAAAACTGCGGAAATGCACTGCTGTTTTTATTAGAGGTAACCAATGTATGTTAATAACAGGCCAATTGCCTACACATGAACATGGACAGTTCATATGGGCGGCTTATTTGACGGCCCCATTCCACTCGCAAAGAGATACACTGTGAAAAGTGAAAATGGACATTTTTGATTTCTGTCTTAATAATGAGTAATTGCTCCACCAATCCTCAGACATTCAACGATGCGCCGTGGCATGCTCCTTATGTTCTACCGGAAGTAGTTGCTGATCAATATGCGGATGACAAAACATCATGTTACACAAATTGTGCATTTCTGTGTTACTATAAACATGAAGTTAGAGGTAAATTATGTTAGTTATTTAAACATATATTTAGATTTGTGATTATATTTACTGGCTATTATAATGTCTCTGGCACAATCCCATCACATTTAAATAAAATAAATACTACTATACTATATTTTGGCGTCGTCGATGCGCAATTGTCCAAGGAACAGCATGTCAAGTTTCATGTCGACCGTACATCAATTTTCGAAGCGCCTCGCCCCCAAAGATGAGTATCGCCTGAGGACCATTTCTTGGTCCTAAAATCTCAAGGACGTTTACAATGTTTCGGCGACAGGGGAAATAACTCCTTATATACTCTTCAAAAAAAGTAGGGGATATTCAGAACAATACAAAACTGCGGAAATGCACTGCTGTTTTTATTAGAGGTAACCAATGTATGTTAATAACAGGCCAATTGCCTACACATGAACATGGACAGTTCATATGGGCGGCTTATTTGACGGCCCCATTCCACTCGCAAAGAGATACACTGTGAAAAGTGAAAATGGACATTTTTGATTTCTGTCTTAATAATGAGTAATTGCTCCACCAATCCTCAGACATTCAACGATGCGCCGTGGCATGCTCCTTATCAACCGTCCAATCGCGATTTGTGGCAATCTGGCCGGCTCCTCTTGCAGTGCTACGGCCAATTCTTGCAGTGTTGTCGGTGGACGTTGACGTCGACGAACACGTCTCCCCATTAAATTAAACGTAACACACTAAAGCAAAGATACGCTAAACAGTAAATCTTATGCAAGAACCGATAGGAAAGCAAACATGGATATGCAGCAAGCGACAGTTTTCATAAACCTTTCCTTGAAGTGTCAAATTTGACAATGAACCTCTCCCACGTGTATGGCGCTATTGCGTGTCGCATGTGTAGCTCAATGGTTATGTTGGGGCGATAAGTTATTTACCTTTGAACATACTCTCAAAGCATGTCACGTGTCCATGACTAATTATCATATCACAACCTGCATAGGTATTTGCATTTCAATATCCCCAACTTTTTTTGAAGAGTATAATTGGCGCACGACTTTGAAAGATGAGTATCGCCTGCAGACCATTTCCTGGTCCTAAATCTCAAGGACGTTTACAATGTTTCCTTGACGGTGAAAATAACTCCTCATAATTGGCGCACACTTTGAAATTAGATATGTTTTCTCCTTATAATTAACTAGCAGAATGCCGGGCTTCGCTCGGGGGTCATAACCCCGAAACCGGAAGTGATAGACTAACGCCACCTGGCCTATGTTACTCCCCGGTCCGAGCTACCCATATACCCCAAATTTCAGACTCGGGGCAGACCTAGTGTAGCCGCCAACCACGAACAGACAGACAGACAGACAAACAGACAGATAGACAAACGACAGTCACAAATATTAGTATAGATTAATCGAACAATCAAAGTGAGTGTCTTAAGAATGTTATGCTGTTCATTATGATGTTAAGAAAGGGCAAATTTTAGGTCCGGTGTAATAGTGTGTCAATCAGTGGTGATGATTTTTAAAGGACAATATTGGTGCCAGTCATTATCACATATGTGTTAGAGCTGGTTAAACACATTCCAAATATATTTTTAACACAGAGATCATTGCTACGATAGCTGAGTAATACAGGTTTCCCGTATCGGAAGTGACGAACGCCAAAGGAAAACATGAGTGATAACAGATACACGGCCGAATTTCTACTCACTAATAATTCCTTCGAAGACCAAAAGTTGTTATATGGGACTGTAAGAGGATATCTGACAATTCAATAAAGTAATTGAATGTCATTAGATAAGAGAACACGAGAAAAATAGAAATAGTCCGTACATTCCCTTGTTTATATTCGTTCCATACCTTATGCACGGACTTTTTCTGTTTTTCTTTCGTGTTCTCTTATCTAGTGGCAGTCAATTATTTTTATGAATTATCAGATATCCTCTCACAGTCTCACACAGCAACTGTTGGTCTTCAAAGGAATTATTAGTGAGCAGAAATTCGGCCGTATATCTGTTATCACTCGTCGCTTCAGTCAGTTATATTGAGCGGTGACTCGTGTTTTGCTTTGGCGTTCGTCACTTCCGATACGGGAAACCTGTATTACTCAGCTATCGTAGCAATGATCTCTGTGTTAAAAGTATATTTGGAATGTGTTTAACCAGCTCTAACACATATGTGATAATGACTGGCACCAATATTGTCCTTTAAGGGTGTTGTGTTTGTTGATCTACAGTTTGTTGCCTCAGCTGATGTTGCCCTTATTATATATTAGGAAAAATCTTCAGCGCAGACGTAGCATCAGGCATAACAGAAGATGAATTTTCCCATCATGACGTAAAAACACAATTTAATGAGACAGAAATTAAAGTATCATCGAGAGTGGTGAGTATTATATTTATTATTAATTAATATAATAGTAAATCATTTACGAATGTACAAGTCTAATATCTCCATGCTCTTCTAATCTGCGAACTTGAAACGCTGCCAAACGAAAACTGTGAACATTGGCAGAATAGCCAGCGAGACCAAACTTGGTGACAGTAGGAGTAGTAAAGTCCAAATTTTGCAAATAGCGTTATCTCACCTTAGGAAAGCTAAACGGGGTTCTTCCCATTGACGGAGTGGAATCCCCATTGCATTTTAAGATGTGTTGACAATGGTTACGACCGGAGATGGGTGTTTAGTAATCCCGTTATGAACATATAATGTGGCAGCTGTTTTTACTTTGAATCGGTACAAGAGAGTTGTTTCGCTATGTTGTATTGAAATGATATAATATTTACAGTGACGGGGGAGAATACCACGTAATCGCGGATCCTTGCTGTCTAATCTGTCCAGGTTTCACCACTCTCAAACAAAAGCCGGTGTAACAGATTGGCGACTGAGCTTAGCATTTCCCTGCGTTCTCCGAAAGGCGGTGGAAAACTGTTTCAAATTCAAATAATTGACGACAGTTTCAAAATATCGGTCAAGAACTGAGCAAATCAATAAGTGATTTCGGCGAATCAATTGGGGGAAACAGGTATTTTTGGAAATAAAACATGAAAACAATTAGAATCAAAAATCCATTAGCCCAGTCGGAGCAGAAAAGTAGGACGTTAAATCCCATTTCATTTCGTAAGCATGGTCAACACACCTCATCATGCATATGGGAATAATTCTGTTAGGTCACGGCATTACTACTTGCAGTTTTACTGCTGGTGTTTTGGGTGGTGTTGTTTTGTTTTGTTTTTTTTTGGGGGGGGGGGGCTAATGTATAATTTCGGTGTACATGTATTCCTTGACACCAAAAACACACGGTTAGACATCACAATTATCATCCTAGACTAAATACTATGGAAGTTATAGGGGATTATTTGAAATGGTGGCCGTCTTGGAAGCCATCTTGAATTTCTCAAAACGCTCAAGGGTGACCAAGGTTCACCCGGCAGATTTTGAAAGAGGACACCCTAGATTACTAAAATCAATCATAAAAAAACTTTGTATACAATTTCCAGGTTCAGCCATAGTTGTGCCGGAGTAATATTATGTAATATCCCAATACCACGGCAGGTGGTATTACTGACAGTAAATAACACAACATTATTGTGCAACCCTTGCAATATCACCAAATTTGGCTTTGCCAAATTATTCCATGTATTATTTTTGTCTGATCTATGTAGAAAAACTTTAATGGTATAACACTGGTAACGTTAACGTTCTGTCCTGAATGGATATTACAGTATACAAGGAAAGGGGCTATATTAACTGCAGACAAAGACTCAATCACAGATCAACAATCAGAATATTTACGGGTATGTATTTGAACTTGATAAGAAATTTACATTAACAGTCCATTTTATTAAATTGTAATTTCAACCAAATATCTTTGCATTTTTGTAGTGCTGTTTTCGCGCGGTTGTAGCTTATACCAGCACTAACGACGACAATTTGTTAAGAATGTAACTTTTAATAAATGGATGGCCAAAGCTGGCTAACGGCCATACAATAATGATAGGTCATCCGTCAAAAGTTACAGATTATAACATACACTGATATAAGTTCGACTTTTATTAGAGCCCATTTCTGGCTGTGTGGGGGCACTCTACCAATGTCAACCATTTTGATTACTAAATACCCGATAGTTTTTTTATTTCTGTCGTAACATCTATGCACATTAATTCAAACTAACTGAATATCTTGAATAAATGATGAGGATGGGGGCTTTCACGGTCCATGAAAATGATATTCCAACACGCTCTTAAGTTGACTGGGAAATTCAAGACAATCTGTTTCGTTCTAGATTGGGAGCAACGGTGGCTAGGTGGTTAAGACGCTGGCTCGCTAGCCTGGAGGTCGGGTGTTCGATCCCTGCATTGGCCGAGAAAGTTCATCCGGATTTTCCGACGTGGTTTCCCCTTGTCAGTGGTGCAGAACGGAGGGCCTGACAAGGACTGCTGTCAGGTCCTTCGGATGAGACGAAAAACCGAGGTCCCGTGTATACATTGGAATGCACGTAAAAGATCCCTTGGCAGTTGGAATTCGATATAAGAGTAGGCGATAGTGCCGCTGCCGGGCAAAATTTCCCTCATAGCACACTGTATGGCGTATGCCCGTCTTCATTAGCCCAGTATAGGAGCAGAACAGTAGGACGTTAAACCCCCATTTCATTTCATTTCGTTCTAGATTATAGAAGGTCAGTTTAGCAGAGATGAGAATGATACTCTTTACACCAGACTTGATTTTGGACCTATAGCTACACAAGAGTTTACATTACAGTCACTATGTGGTATAGACTTATCACATGATGTCAAAATAACAGAATTCCATCTGCAGAGGGCCGCCATGTTTTATCACAATCATGGTGAGTATATATAACAAACATTTTATAGGCAAATTGCTATATTTACATACATTGGTATGTTATTTCCTCCCATGCATGTTATGAAACTATCAACCTGTTGTGAAGTCATCAGAGGGTGATATCTGATATCGATATCACCCTCTGATGACGTCACAACAGGTTTACGGACTCTGCAGTGAAAACGGACACAAATTCTTTCTTTTAACATTTTATTCAATTTTTTATACAATGTTGTTAAACGATTCAGACGACGAACTTTACCAGACTCATATTGCTTAGTTTCTTCATCTGACCATCAAGAACTTGTCTAAAACTCTCAAATTCTGGATTGTGTATTATATCCACATCAGTTTTATTTGCAATCCGTAAATGTGAAACTATTCCCATAACTAAATAAGGAATTCGGTGGGTAATATTCATCATTTTATTTTCCTTACTTCCAAGACGAATCTAGACATCCACATAATAAGATCTTATATACTCATATCTTCCAGCGCACACAGGATTATTCGCTCACTATCGTGTTTATTATTCCGCCACACTGACCAACTGTTAAAACGTTTACAGCCCACTGGTGTTCCCGTGATCGTAGAGACTTGAAATTTTCAGGGGGTGTTCATGGGGGCTAGCCATGACCTCACACCAAATTTCAGCCAATAACTTTTTATTTTACCGTAGTTTAGCTTCTATGTCGGTGTGTAAGACAAATATTAGCCTAATACCCTCGATCATCCTCGGTATCCCCATTGTACTCATTCCGTTCTACTCCCTCCACTATACCCTGGGTTAATCCATAGGGTTTCCACGATTTCAAATTATCTGTCCTGGACTTAATTGTTGCTATGGTCTACGAACCAATCAAAGAACAGTTTACAAACCTGTCGTTTCTCCTTCGTTTTATAAGGGTAGATAACCATATTCATATCCATTTAGTGAATGATTTATGTAAATAATGTATATATTTCTAATTTATTTATATTTAATTGTATTATCAAAATCAGTAGTATGTTTCGCTGATTTCAAATATGTATAACATCTATATGTTTGACTTTTGTTATTATTATTACTATTTGTTCTTTGTCTGAAATGTTTCATTCTGTTAAGTTTATTATTATTGAATAAAATAAAATAAAACCAAGTACGAACAAGCCAAACATAAGACAGAATTCGAAGTCCTAAAAAACGTTATTGGCCAAATAGTGTATTCGAGCTAAATAGTGTAATCAGCAAATGGACTGCTCCTCGTGTACAAAATACACGACAAACAGTGGTAACAGGTGTCCGGAAGAGTAAGCTTACCCTGCCTGGCGCCATAGCTGCATCCAAACTATTAGGCGAAATGTCGGTAAAATACTTATACTTGGCAATTTGATTCGATATCACTCACTTCTGTGGAAGTGGGCGTAAAAGCACCAAGATACTACTTGTATACAAAGTTGTTTTTTATGATCGATTTCAGTAGCCTAGGGTGTCCTCTTTCAGAATATGCCTGGTGAACCTCGGTCACCCTTGAGCGTTTTCAGAAATTCAAGATGGCGCCCAAGGCGGCCGCTACATCAAATAATCCCCTATAGCTCCCATAGTATTTAGTCTAGAATGATAATTGTGATGTCTAACCGTATGTTTCTGGGGTCAAGGAATACATTTAAATCATTTATTATGTTGTGGGGTGATTAGATGATGGTACAATCAAACATGCCAGACAATATGGCCCTTTCTGACTAAAATCGAGAAAAATAAAAATTCTTGCGAAAACAATACGTGTTTCGTTCCGCAGGTACCGAAAAACGTAATTATAGTGCGTAGTAAAACAAACAATTTCACTGGCAATGTTAATTAGACAATATGACATCACGGTTTATTCCCACGAAGGCGCAGTTATTGACCGTAACGGATTAAACGAGGTCGTTTTCGACGACTTCGTGGGAATCCAGCTCCTAGGGATTAAAATGGATTAAAATCGTAACAATAGTGTTATAGATTGTTATGATAAGAATTTACACTTTCATAATCCCCAATGTAACTAATTAACCAACATTTTAGCATCATTTTTGGCATAAAAAATGAAAACATAACTACACTATAACAAAAATTAATTTAATTTCGCCAAATAAGACACACTGTTTAAATACTCGACTAAAGTCAATTCCTCTTCCTCATGTCTTCCTTTTAATTCCTGGAGCTGGCTTTGGATTTGAGCATATTTATATCTCTTCCTTGGTGGTTAATATTTTGTTCTTGTTGTAGAAATGTGATCATTTCAAAAACATTCGGACGGGTTTTTTCAACTAGCTTCTTGATTCTTGCAGGCCATCCTTCCAGGGTGTTGTTGGTTCAGAGTGAACATAAATTCATAAAAATCTTTAACGCCGTTAATTGGGTCCTAATGGCAACATGCCTCTCTTCAAACGAAAGCCGACAAGTCGATATCTGCGCCTTCGTGGGAAGGATTAATTTTGGTCACGCTCTGTAACTGTGCCTTCGTGGGAATACACCGACATCACGAGTGTCTTCCTATCGGATTAAGAGTAAAGATAATTAAATGCAAAACAATAAAACAAGCGGTTTCCATGCAGGATAAGCTTACATTTTGCAAGAGATCGACAAAGAACAAATTAAAAAAGGGTCGATTTTTACGTACAAACAGAGGCCATAATCCAGGAAATTACAAACCAACGTTGATACTACATACTTTACTTTAACAGTACACAATTTGTGTACAGGGAGCAGCCAATTTTTCGGGTAGTTTCCTTCCGATTTTCACGAAATTCGAACTCAACCATTATTTAAACGGATTTTAAAGTCGGATAAAATATTTTGACATCTAGCGGTTCCACAACTTAAAAACACGGATTTTCGACCAATCAGAGGTCACAGTCCAGGAGGTTACGGTCTGATATGCGCAAATATCGAAAGGAAGCGATATATTTGAGATATAACCATATATTTTACGTTCCATCAAAATTGGATAAAAATTGTGACATGTAGAGGGTCAACGAGCTTGGTATTGCACAATTTTACCCTATTTGCGTTGGTCAGTTTCGGTCCGATTTTCACGAAATTTGAACTTAACCATCATTAGGGTGTAATGGTGATATATTTAAACGATTTGTAAAATCGGATAAAAATTGTGACCTCTATAGTATCCACAATTTAAAATCGCGAATTGTTTTTTTCGTACAGTTAGGGGCCATATAATCCAGGACGTTACAGACCCGATATTCGCTTATATCGAAAGGAATCGAGATTTGTGCGATATAAACATACAATGTAAGTTTTATCAAAATAGGACAGTTTTTGTCAAATGTTCACGAAATTCGAACTCCACCGTAATTATAAGTTTGGTGTGATGGTGATATATTCGAACGGTATTTTAAATCGGAAAAAAAATTTTGGGCGTATAAAAATGTCAAACCCAAATTAGTACAAAGCTTGAATCTACACGACAATCATCTTTTCTTATTTTTAAATAGGAATAAGGTTATGACATTTATAATTACCGTGTGTAATTCTTATTGTTTACATTTTTAAGCAGGATACTGTTTGTTATATTTTAGATTCATACGGTGGTTATTATAGGCATGGTTTGATTCACGCTCCATATATGATAGTAAAAGGATATTGGTACGATGATGATACTCTGGAATCAACGACACAAGTCTCCACCAGTTCTACAATACCAGAAAGCAGTAGTATAACAAGTGATATTTCAAACGAAAATATCACAAAAACGTCGTTACTAAGAGAAGAATGTATTGCCACCGAAGCGTACTCAGTTCAACAAAATGGCCAACCATTTCAATGTAAATGTTTTCCAGAGCCAAACATCACCATGTCAGCTAAGTTAGTAGAGGAAATAAAAGATGCCATTAGTGCAAATCTATCCGTTAAAACCAATACTTTGTCTTCGACCACTAGAACGAAAATATCAGCCCAGGATGACCGTAGTTCATCTAAAACTATTGGCTTATTGGGTAGTATTTTGCTAGGTTTAGAATTTGCTTTACTTGTATTTCTAGATTCAACATATTTAATACAAGGAATGCATAATCTATATAATAAGATTAAACATCGCCATATTGGTATTAATGAGGCGATCTTGTGATAAAATCTTAACCGGTGGCTTAATAACAAATAAAAAATGTACAAAATTTATTGTGGTTACAAGTTCAAATACCAACCAATATAAATAGACGTACATAATGTAGTCAAATAATAACTTTTCGCATGGCTAACTAGTTTAAAACCAAAATAATGAAATTGTTCTTCTTTAATTGTTTGGTTCTTTACTCAATTTACTCAAAGTATTGGACGAGAGGCTGAAATTGGGAGTTCGGGTAGATAGAAATGATAAAAATTATATTCTAATGCAGGTCACCATTAATACAGATTAATGGAAATCCCCAAAGATCTCGTTATGGCTTCGATTTTGGCACATGTCGGATCGTAACTACCAGGATGTTGAGCTTTTCAACGATTTACTTATTCAGCGATCAGTTACATTGTACCTTCCGTTCCATAAACGTTGTAAACGCGAGAGAGGCTGCAGTTCTTAAAATATTTCTTTAAAACTCAAAGTTGAGCATTGGCACTATGAGAGGATGAGCCCTATCGAAGTTTTCATCCCATCTCTTGCAAAATGTGGGCGTATTTTGCAAGCCGACCGCTAGTTGTAATGTGTGAAAGATATGACAATCTCCGAATTTCTGTAAAATTCAAAATTCACTCCACCTTATGAATATGACATATATTATAGCCGAACATCCTTAACACCGATACTATATCTTATAAGGCACCTTTAACCAAGATGGTGGTGGCAAAAAATCCGTTTCTCGACCGTCTATTCTCTGCATATGCATGGTTGACTCTCCGAATAACAAACACAGATATAGAGAAGAGAAATGAATATTTCTCGCTCACCCTACACGGGTGATTTTCGTTAGTAATGCAACGCGAATTTAATTAAATTACAATTTAGTGCTCTTACTCACCTTTTAATAATTCCATATCTCTATTTGATTATAATGATACTCAATTTTATTTTTTCCAACACAACGACGTACAGTTTCGCTCCTTGTAAAGTACCGATATTCCTTTTGCGGACCCGGGGGGGGGGGGGGGGCTAAAAGAACTGTATAAAATTGTATTATCCCGTTTCAAAGAAAGGTGTAAATTTGAGCTTATTGTCGGTTATGTTGATATAGCTTTAATGTTATATTCGGGTACAGATGTGCACCATGAATAACCATTGACACCTCGATTTTTCAGAATTTTCTTGGAGGAGGTCCCCCCCCTCAACCCCTACAAACCAAATATTCTGCGCCAGCAACTGCCCGTATTCTTTAGATGCTTTTTATATGTTGTGGTATTTTAATTTCTATAGATGTAATGTCGGTCGATATGTTATGAAACATCCGAGTTAAAGCAATCGTGTAAAAGTATATCTGCTCATGTTACTTCATCCCTATGGTGATCGGTTAGGTGTAACTAAATACACTAACCACAAGTGGTGAGCTCTGAATATATGAATGCTTGAAATTGTCTTTAAAAAAAATGGCAATTTACCATTGTTTTCTGTAAAGCAGAGATCTGATAAAAGGTTTATTGAGTTTATTCCACGATCAATACAACATGTAAATGTTGGGATTTCTGTTAAAATTTAAAACATTTATTGATTTCACATAAAGAAAATATTGAACATAATAGAATTAAAATGTTTGAAAATAGATTTTTCTTTAGTTTCTTTACATTGCGTAAAAGCAGTACTGGTCCACAGTATACGTTAAATTTTTTATCGCACGTTATTGGCTATTCATGTGGAAAATTACTTGGTGATTTAATGAGGTTGCTAATATAGCGATCGACCATAAACCCCTTGAGATATAGTATTATATGTAAAATCGACACAAAATACATAGCCTACTCCTGGCGGTATTCTGTTTAATCGGTATACCGATGTACAAAGCCTTGATTATTATGTCTAATCACCCTGGTCTGTCCATCTTTATTATAGACGGAAGGGGGGGGGGGGGTCTTGGTAGAATGAATATACCTTCACATGAAATGCCGACATATAAAAATCACATTGGGTTAAACTTTAGCGGAACACGAATGCCAAGAAAAGGAATCGGTGAAAATGTGTGTTTTCATTCTCATGATATCACATCTCGTTCTTTCTCTTCAACTTCGCTCATTCAAAGATCATATTATATGACAGAATAGTTTTAAAGAGTCGAAATATAAATATCTGTATTAAAGCTTTCATATAATTCAGTGTTATTTCCGACCACAGGCACTTGAAGGAATTAAAATTTCATACATATGGTCTAATACAGTAGCCAACATACTATGCCACCCGCTATTTTGCTTTTACTTATCGGGGATCACGTGGCTAAGTGGGTAAGATGCTGGCTCGCCTGGAGGTAGGGTGTTCGATCCCTGCATTGGCCGAGAAAGTTCAGCCAGATTTTCCGGCGTGTTTTCCCCTTGTCAGTTATGCAGAACGGAGGGCCTGACAAGGACAGCTGTCTAGTCGTTCGGATGGAACGAAAAACCGAGGTCCCGTGTAGATCCCCTGGCAGTTGGAATTCGATATAAGAGTAGGCCGTAGCGCCGCTGCCCGGGCAAAATTTCCCTCATAGCACACTGTATGGCGTATGCCCGTCTTCATTAGCCCAGTTTGGGAGCAGAACAGTGGGACGTTAAACCCCATTTCATTTCATTTCATTTCGCTTTGACTGATCAGTGAAGACATTTATTCCTCGGTCATCTTACCATACTCACTACATATAGCAATCTACTTCCTTTTTAATGCAGACAAGACTTTATTTAATTCTTATATATCCCCAATATCACTAAACTGGTAACTTTAAAGCGCTAAGCGATATGTATTTCTGAATGCTAACTTCGTTGGACCGGACGACGTGGTGTTGAAGGAACCTTTTAATACTGATTTTAGTTTTCATTAGCAACAGTCAAGATCACACAGTCCATTTGTTACCTTATCTATTGCACTTGATTTGGTGAATGACGAGGTGGTCATACAATAGAAAATTCCTGAAACACCCGACGGTGACAGTGCGTCAGTTTGATTTGTAATTAAAGACGTTCTGGGATAAAAAAAAAAAACAGCGGAAAGTTTTAGAAGTAGTGCGCATATTGTGAAATGATCGTGGGCGAAATGTCTTCACCGAGACAAAACAATATGTCGATAAATCAACACTGTTACTGTATTAAGAGTACTTGCTTCCTTTAGATCTTGTCATAAAGTGACGTTTGAGCATCGACAGGAAGTTGAAGTAAAAAGAACCATAGGGGGACGGACCTAAAATGCCCGAAAACATTCCCGTTTACAGACGACCGCTCCTGTCATCGGGGTTAGATCTATTTCACATGGCCACCTGCAGATTTCCCCAAAGTCACGAGATGTAAACGGGGTAAGGGAACGTGATTGTTGCCGAGGATTGTGAGTTAGGATCAGGGTAAAGCTTTGGGCTAGGTCTTGGGTTAGGGTTGGGATTAGCGCCAGGCCTGTTAACGTCTCGTGACCTTTGACCAAACTTGAAGTTTGCCTTATCAAATAGATCTAACCCCGTAATACAATTCATCCAACCACATATTCACCCTTTTAACCGGCCAAATTATTATTCTGTACATAAAAGCTTGGAACTTTTATACAGGTAAGCTCCTTTATTCGCCTCCACACAGGTAAGCCGAGTCAATTCGCTTCCACACAGGTAAGCCCTCTTAATTTGCTTCCATACGAGTAAGCCACCTAACTTTGCTTCCATATAGGCAAGCCCCTTAATTCGCGTCCACACAGGTAAGCAGCCCGTTAATTCTCTTCCACACAGAGGAGCACTCTTTATTTGCTTCCACATAGGTAAGCCTCTTTCATTTTCTTCCACACGGGTAAGCCCCCCCCCCCACCACACCGCCCCTTAACTCTTTTCCACAAATTTGCCTCCATGCAGGTAAGCCCCTTTTATTTTTTCGACACAGCTAAGCCCCTTGAATTTGCTCCCACACAGGTAAGCCCCCCACCCCCAACTTTGCTTCCACAAAGCTAAGCCCTCATACTCAAAAGTAGGTCAATCATTTTACTACTTCTATTGCCGACAAAGTATAGATAAATTAAGACAATCTTAGGCCATGTTCCATGTTAGATCGCGGAACAACAAGGCTGAGCACGGCTCGCCCAAATTATTAACGAAAACATTTCCTTTACTGCTTTCCGACACAGTAGAAACAAATTAAGACAACCTTAGACTATATTCCATGTTAGATTGCGGAACAACAAGGCTGACCATGCTCACCCCAAATTACTAAAGTTTATCTCGGTCGCAAACCGTTTTAGATCTGTTACACTCAAAGTTTCGATATTTACACCAGGTACAATATTCTGGTTAATTTCTTGGGGATAAACCATTTATCTATAGTGCATTCAGAAATGTATTTGCGAAGAGTTTATTTTCTCGTTCCACCTTGTTCGCGACATTTTAACCGATCGTGCACTTGACTTGCCGACTCCAGTGTTTCAGACCAAGGGACGCTATACAGTTTGGACACTTCCCTCTTGTGACAAGGGCCGGTAATTCAGTGAATAGCCTGACTTAGGTGGCTGACCTAAATTTCAAACAACCTATCAATCGTTTAGTCCACAGACTGTTAGGATGACCCATGTACTCACAGAAATACAGTCCACCGCTGATAGTTCGAGACTACCACTGAAGCGTGCACATTCGCCGTGCCGAGACCAACTTACTGACAGTGTGATACTATAAATAGCCATGGCACGTGCAATTCTCTACAAATCTATTAACTATTACAGCCGTAAAACATTTATTATTGACGATTTTGAATAGCAGTAAAATTAAGCTTCTTGGTTATTACAGCAGATTTAGAAATTACGTTCGTTTCATTTTTTAAATCGCTTTATCATTAACTGTACCGTTAAGAGCGGCATCTTTTGGTTTAGTACAAATAATATCTCTGAATCACTCGGGTTAGACAGGAAGATGATACTAGCAGTAGTTTCATTTAACTTTTACAAGCTTCTTAAAACGATTGTTGCGCTACCTAACGTGCTTATTTCTAAATTCAATTTCTTGTTCTAGCTTTCTGTTATGTTTCGTAAAAAAGTAGTCTTGATTATCCCGACCTGTCAATCAGACGTAGAATGGTCGATAGACTGGTTAAGCGAGACTTATTTCAAAACAAGGGCACGTAACCTATCTTTTACTCAAAAGTGTCTGGATGTTATGGACGACTCTTGGAACCAGTTTTCAGTCTATTATTTATACATGATTAATGGTCATAGCTTATTAAGTACAACATGATCGTTTATTTAGTGACTATAATTGTGTGAAACTGATTTGAGGCTTGGCATATATATACATATTGTGGCGTAATTGTCGAGATATATGGAGATATTTATTTATGGTGGGTCACCCTACCACAGAGTAGCGGGGTATGCGGTTCTAGCCCTCCCGAGAAAATTTAGAAAATTTAACTACTTTTTTCTGCTAATACTACTATTCCAGTCCGTGAGATGTTCAATAATTTTGCAATCGAACGCCCATTCTATGCCGACAAATACAAATCATCCACCCAAACTGTTGAGCTGCATTCACAAACAATAATTCATGTCATAGAGTGGCACTAGATAAAATGTTTTAATCTATGGTCAATTCAGTAAAAAATTCACGGTATTCAATTAAAAGAAAAGTCAAATTTGTGTTTTATAAGATTTCGGACACTTTATTTGGCCAACCATAAACCATACATTAAATTTTGTTCACTTTACCCGTCTGCCCGAAAAGTCAGATTGCCCGACAATAAAAATATTACTTCTTAGATGGTTGAGAACGAATATATTATTTGGACTAAGACTAGTAATTATTTCCCTTTATTTCATGATGTGGTACGAGTTATAAATAGATATTTTTCCTTTATTTTTTTCTCCCCTTTGCTTGTATGTATAGGATATTAACCTACCCGAGGTTGATATGATAGAGAACACCCGGGCTTCGTCCGCGTGTTCTCTATCATATCAATCCGAGGGAGAGAAGGTTTATATCCGACATATACAACGTCATAGTTTTAATCACCCTTAAATTAAATGGACTCTTCCATTAAAAGTCAACAATGATTGGATAATTGTTCGATAGTTTCCGCCAAATAACGAAAATTACCGAAATTAATCACGTGAATGCATTGTTTATACTATCGCCATTTTGGAGTGGATATAAGAGCAATTGAATTGAAAGCAAAAACAAAATGGATAGTA